CTACAGTCTCCAATTGCAAAATATTTTGTCTACTATATAGACAAAAATTATATACCACATAATAAGGATGATTATAAAATTACACTCTACATTTCCCATGTTCCCAAAAGAATTGTTGTTCAGTGTATGCATAAGTGTCTTCTCTATCTACTAAGTAAAATCTCTTTAGATGAAACATAAATAAATTGTTCCTAAGACAGTAAGTTATTTTAAACTGTATTAATTAATTTTGACCCAGCAGTATCACTTTGGGAAATCGTTTCTATTAGGTAAACCTGCAATTTAACAATAAAGGGAAAAACCTCAAAGACTCACCACATTGATAAGAGGCCATGTTATATAAATAAATAAGGGTACAGCATCTAAACAATAGAATACCATGAAGCAAGAACAAACAAACACAAATTGTATTAAGAAAATGTCACAATGATGAGGATAAAAGAAACCTTGCTAGAAAATGATGTGATTAAGACTTCCAGTAATTGCTAGAAAATTCTTACAAATTAAAGTTTTTGCTTTCTTAATAGCTAAAAATATGTACTTACAAAACTTAAATATCGCTATACAGATGTAAAGTATATTTTCCTTTAGCTTTTGTTCAAGTGTAGTGACTATTAATTTGTATTGTTGTTGTTTTGAAAATTATAAGTTGCCTAGGTCTTCTTAAACATTCTTCGCACTTAAGGCTTTAAAAAAATAAAACCAGTTGCCATAATAAAACTGTTGTGTTAAGCAATAAGTAGCTTCTTCATGTGAAGCATTCTGTTCAATAATTAATTACTCGCCCCAGCTAGTTATGGATTATGTTATAGCCAGGCCTTGAGTTACAAAAATCATGTTTATTTTTTAATAAATATGCCATTTTAATTATGTTCCATTTTAAATTAAAATATTACATCCAATTCTCTTAATGAAAACTTGTAAGTCAAGTGTCAAAACATATTTAAATTATATATATATATATTTTTTTTTAAATAGGACTATGTTTCTGGCAAAAAGTAGTGAATGAAAACTATACCTTTTGTTTAAAAGTATCATCATGTGAACATAATGAAAGTACTAATTATAAATTACTCATATATATTACTAAAGGACAGTTCATACCTACCTGACAATAGAAGGACTGGTAAAATTAATTATGTCATATTTATACAAAGAATACAATGCAGGCCAGGTGTGGTGGCTCTGTAATCCCAGTGCTTTGGGAGGCCAAGGTGGGCAGATCATGAGGTCAAGAGTTCGAGACCAGCCTGACCAACATAGTGAAGCCCCATCTCTACTAAAAATACAAAAATTAGCCAGGCGTGGTGGTGGGCACCTGTAATCCCAGCTACTCAGGAGGCTGAGGCAGGAGAATTGCTTGAACCCAGGAGGTGGAGGTTGCTGTGAGCTGAGATCGCTCCAGTGCACTCCAGCCTGGGCTACAGAGTGAGACTCCATCGAATAAATAAATAAATAAATAAATATAATAAAATGCCATTATTTAAAGAAATCTTCTAGAACCATTGTTATTGTTATGAAAATATGATTATGCCATATTTTCTCATGAGAAGCAGATTTCTAAAAAGACATTTTTACAAAAATATAGTTTTCTAACAGTGGTATTTAAAATACTTTTCTATGTACGTACAAAAGGGTTTCCGTAGATATAAACCAAATACTAATGGCTATCATTTGAGTGGTAGGTTCCAAAGCAAGTAGACTTAATTTTTAGCTTTCTTCTTACCATTTCACATTTTCTAATTTTCTACCACAT